AATGTCTATCTCTAAGCTATTGATTTATTTTCTCCCTTTTTATGCTCATTACTGAGAGGCACTTACGAAATTTTCTTCACTATTTTCCTTTGCACCCATTTTTCATCTACAAGTTATTCATGACTTAATCCCCCCACCCCACCTCCCCTTTCCAACAGGTTAAAGGCTGTGAAGTTTCAACTCATGATGGGGCACCTGTTGCATATGCTTCATGCCCCACAGAAACAGTAAGGACTTTCAGTACCTCATAATTTTGTTTGATTTCATGAATCTTTTTCCCAGTTTTCAGAAAACATTGCAGTGAAATCCTCTTTTATACATATTGTCTGTCTTTATGCAGTCTTGTGGTTATAAACTTGCATTAAATGTGTTTGGTCGTCATTTTATTTTCTAGGTCAATTATGTCTCTGCTCATGACAATGAGTCCTTGTTCGACATTGTGAGTTTAAAGGTAGTTCTACTTTTCCTACCCCAAGGCATTTTGTAAGCTCTAATGCTGCTGCTAACACTACCTTCATACTTACAGACTCCCATAAAAATATCTGTGGATGCAAGATGTAGGATGAACCATTTGGCAACCAGTGTAATAGCACTTTCTCAGGTTAGATTTGTCGATACTTCGCATTGTTTACTAAACATAACACTTTTCCAGCTTGATCTAAACCAAGAGTGACATATTGTTATGCTAATTGATTTCATTATTCCCAGGGAATACCTTTTTTCCATTGCGGTGATGAGATTCTGCGTTCAAAGTCACTAGACCGTGATTCATATAATTCCGGTGATTGGTTCAACAGGTTACTGATACTTATCTCAAATACTTACATTTCTCTTACAGTTGGCAGTGTATGCGATTTTCTGTTCAAATGCACACTTTTTGTTTTCAAACGCACACTACATAATGGTTATGAGATTAGAGAATGAAAAGAGATGATTAGGGATGTCAAAAACGCTCGTCGACTCGTGACTAGGCCTGGGAAAAGCCCAAGCCTCGAGCCCCTTTTTGGGGCATCGGCTCGAGCTGAGCCAGCCCGTGGGCCCGTGTCACGGGCCATTTCGGCCCCCCGAGCCGAGATTTATTAAAAAAAATTAAAAATTTTAAAAATAGATTTTAAATTCACTCCTATATAAATTGCACAAATTTTAAATTCTTAAAAAAACAAATTAGATTTATCACAAAAACAAAAAAAAAAAGCTGGCTAGGCCTGCTAAGGCCCGAGCCTAAAGCTCGGGTCGAGCTTTCGTTTTTTGGCCGAGCTTTTGCTCGGCTCGGCTCGGCTCGGCTCGGGCAAAAAAAAACCCTAACCATTTTTGCTCGAGCCGAGCCCGAGCTTCAAGTTTCGGCTTGTGGCTCAGCTCAGACTCGTTGAGACCCCTAGAGATGATAGAGGTTCATGAATGTTCGATGGTGAGGTAAATGACAGACACAAGTTTGAGTAAGAAGGCTGAGGAAAATCAATGCCATGTCACTAGTAGGCGCTTTCACAGACATTAATAGGAAGTCTGAGTGCAGCTTTCCACTTGAAAAGGTGGTGTGTTCGTCAGACATTAATAATTTCATCAAAATTCTTTATATTATATTCCAATCGTTTTTGTCCCCGAGTTTCCACATCTGCACATGACAGATCTAGTATTTGGGATAGCAGAGATTGCTAAAAATATTGAAGGTATATCTTGGTGGCTATTTGAATTTCCATAAAATTTTGATGTCGAGGAGTAATTCTACTACAATAAAACTTATTCTAAATGGAATTTCATCTTCCCCTTACCAATCGCCAATTTCTACCTACTCTTCTCAAAAGTAGTGCAACATCCTCACTTATCCTAAGTTACAGTATGGAGCAAATGTTATGAAATATTGCATTTTTTCTCATTCTTAAGTCAAGATTCTAAATATTTCTTTCAGATTAGACTTCAGCTATACTTCTAATAATTGGGGAATTGGTCTTCCTCCAAAAGAAAAGAATGAGAAGAGCTGGTCAATGTAAGCATTTGATAATTTCCTGTATGTCCATTGGTTCTTGTTTTCTGTTCATTGTTTTATATTTTTATGTACTTCAAAATGTCCTGTTTCAATGCACAGCTCTTTCTAATAAATTTCGCCAGGCAAGGTTTTATTAACTAAATTTCTTTGCCTATTCCTTCAGAATTAAAACGAGATTGGCAGATCCATCCTTTAAGCCTCAGAAGAGCCATATTCTCGCTGCACTTGAAAACTTTTCAAGCTTCTTAAGTATAAGATACTCTTCTCCACTTTTCCGTTTGAGAACAACTAATTCTATACAGGTAAGAGAGATGCATAAACCCAAAGTGCATGTTTGGTATATACTACTGAACTGAACTAGATAGTACAATAAACAAGTTTCTAGCTTCTTTTTCTTCCTTAGTAATGACGGTACAATCCAATCCTCCTTACCAAACATACTAAAATAGGTTTATGTGGTTCTATTTTAACATAACTACAGCCCAGATTTTTTCTTTTGATTCATGATAAAAGAGTAAATTTCTATGTTAGTATTGGCATAAAGCACAAAAAATTAACGTCATCATGTGCTCATGTTTTCGTTATATTCTTGCATGACCCATTTAGCTCTGTTGAGGCAGGAGTGAGTTCCAAAAATTCTGATATTATGTACTCTATAAATAAAAATGCATGCATATTTTGCTAGAATTCACAATGGGTGCATAAGACATCCATGAAATTAATAAGATAATTAAATTTTAAATCCCAGGCTTTATATTTAAGCCTTGAAGTTTTCCTTTAACATTTCTGTTGCCTTGTGCCTTGATGCAGTTTTAGTTTGCCTTGCCCTGGTTCTATTTGCAACATTCTCCTTGAATTTTTGTAAACTTCAAGTAGATGGTTGTAGACTTTTCATATATAAGTAATGCTGTTATTTCATATATTAGATGTTATTTCTCTTGAGAGCATGAAGATTTTATATAGATAATGAATATTTTGATTTCTATTATCATAGTTGATTCATTTATATATAGACATCGCGTATATGGCCAGACAAGATACGATCTAATTTGGAAGATTAGGAAGATGTTAGACTGCAGGGACAAATTAACCCCCACTAGTGCACGACAAAATAGGAAATTGGCTAAAACTTTCCCAGAATGAATCAAAGATGATATAAACTAGCATTCGATGTTCTAAATATTTGAGATCTCCATTGTAAACTTCTGCATCTTAATTTTATTGAAAAATCTGCAACTGTAAGTGGACGTAACTCTTAGGTTGAGGGTGAACCGCTATACTCTGTGTTTCCATGTGTGAGTTTCTGTTTATTGTTTTCTTCATTATTGAACTGGAATTTAGGATTAGCTTTATTTCATAACAGGCACGAGTACGATTTCACAATACCGGTCCGTCATGGGTCCCTGGTGTCATAGTCATGAGCATTGAAGATGGCTACGAAGGAGTTCCTGGGCTTTCTCAACTGGATCCCATGTCAGTTGAAAGAATTTATGCAGTTGTTTTTACTTCAACTGATGCCTTCTATATGCACTAATAGATATATATCTGTTCCTTGTGCTGATCAGCTACTCGTATATTGTTGTTATCATCAATATACGCCCAACGGATGCCTTATTTACCAGCCATGCTCTTCGGGGTAGAAGTCTTAAACTGCATCCCATACAGGTACTTGTTTATCCTCCTATTTGACCTATTTTTTAGTTATAAATCTAGTTTTTAACTTATCGCATTCATTGCCATCTTCTATGGTAGATTAGAGTTGCAAAGTCTAGCAAGTAATTTCGAAAGAAAAATGTACATGTTCTCTTGGAGATAATTTCATTATGCTAAGAGTTCTTTCAGAATAAGAAACTTCCCTTTTTTAACATGGAATTAAGAAGAAAAAAATAACTTGTTTAGAAACAAAAAGTTACCAAAATTAACTTGAACTTATATTTATGCTTAGCCAAACATGAAGTTGAATAAGCCAATAATTATTTGTACTCTTGATGATCTATAGTTGTATACTTCCGTCCTTAGTTTGATGTTTCAAGTGTCGTCTCATGCTGTACTTCTGTTTATGTTACATTATTCCCAGATGAGCTCGACTGATGACAATGTCAAGGACTCCACATATGATTCATCGTCTGGTTTTTTCAGAATACCTGCTAGGACAACATCTGTTTTTGTTGAACCTCGAGAAGCCTGAGAATATTTAATCGATCAAACTTGTAAATTTTGTACTTTTACAAGACACAAAAAAATAAAAAATACGATCTAGTTGCAACCTATAACTGATGGAGCTTATAACTATTTCATTATGCTGCGTATGTGTAGTATTTTCCTGTTAGTTGTTTCAATAAAAAATTGAGTATTAGTTCATCTTATAAAGTTGTATCTTTACTTAAATACCCGTGAAACCAGGGAGGGATCCATTCTCCAACATATTCATGATTCATAATGTTCCATGAAATTGCACTGTATATCAAAAACTGATTTCTCACTGTGTATTCATTTCATGGTATCACTAGAAATGTCAAACTTTAACTCTTTAGGGATACAATCCACGGTTCGTATCTATATGAACTAAGCCCATATTTGGTGTAGATTTTCATACAAGTGATGTGTAGTTGAAAAGTTGTAGGTTTCATGTATGATTAAAATTAGTTGTTGACTTTAACTTGAAATTTTAATTTGATTTTAATCCAAACCAAACAGGGGCTAAATTATGATGGTTTATAAAAGTTACAACAGAAACCATCAGAGCTTATCCGAAATGGACGAAAAACACCACCAATGAAACAAATGGATCACAAGTATTTCACTAAATCCTCAATTTAATCAAGCCCTGTTTTGTAGAGAAATTGGCCTGTCAAATGTGGCAGCTGGGGTGTATTTCCAGCATTTGAACGAGTGTAATACTATTTGCAGTTGTTCATGACTGTAGTCATCCTAAGTAGAATACATGTAACAATTAGTGATTTGATACATTAATGTGGTATTTTTTTATTGTCTTATGCATCAAATCATTAATCACCACATGTATACCACATAGAACGACTACGATAGTGATCGACTACAAATAGCATTATTCTTTGATCAGTCTCGAACAATCTAATAGGCACAATACTTGTCCACACCCAATCAACAGATGTCACATGGTATTCTTAAAGGTTTACTATTCTTTCATAAGAATTTTCCAAAAATGCCATCAAAAAATTGTCGTTCTGTCTAGCTATGTCAACGAGCCGAGCCGGAAAAAAAAGCTCGGGCTCTGCTCGAGCTTTTTTAGGTCGAGCTTTTTTGGGCCCGAACCGAGCCGAGCAAAGCTCAGCCAAAAAAAATGAGGCTCGGCCCGAGCTTTCGACCCGAGCCTTAGCGGGCAGAGCCGAGCCCGGACCGAGCCGTTT